TAGTCCGCCTCCGCCCAGCCCGCCGCCGCCCTCGCCTCCGCCGCCGTCGCCGCCGCCTCCCTCGCCACCACCGCCCTCGCCACCACCACCCTCACCGCCGCCGCCCAGCCCGCCTCCGCCGAGCCCGCCGCCACCCTCGCCTCCGCCGCCGTCGCCGCCGCCTCCCTCGCCACCACCGCCCTCGCCGCCGCCACCCTCGCCGCCACCGCCCAGCCCGCCTCCCCCAAGCCCGCCGCCACCCTCGCCTTCACCACCGCCGCCGCCGCTACCCTCGCCACCACCGCCCTCGCCGCCGCCACCCTCGCCGCCACCTCCCTCGCCGCCGCCACCCTCACCGCCGCCGCCCAGCCCGCCTCCGCCGAGCCCGCCTCCGCCCTCACCTCCGCAGCCACCCAGCCCGCCCCCGCCAAGCCCGCCGCCGCCCTCGCCTCCGCCGCCGTCGCCGCCACCTCCCTCGCCGCCACCCCCTTCGCCACCACCGCCCTCGCCGCCACCCCCGTCGCCGCCGCCACCCTCTCCGCCACCGCCCTCACCGCCTCCGCCGAGCCCGCCGCCGCCCTCGCCTCCGCCGCCGTCGCCGCCGCCTCCCTCGCCACCACCGCCCTCGCCGCCGCCACCCTCGCCGCCGCCCCCGTCGCCGCCGCCACCCTCACCGCCGCCGCCCAGCCCGCCTCCGCCAAGCCCGCCACCGCCCTCGCCTCCGCAGCCACCCAGGCCGCCTCCGCCGAGCCCGCCACCACCCTCGCCGCCACCCCCATCGCCGCCGCCTCCCTCGCCACCACCGCCCTCGCCGCCGCCACCCTCGCCGCCACCTCCCTCGCCTCCGCCGCCCTCGCCGCCACCGCCCAGCCCACCTCCGCCAAGCCCGCCACCGCCCTCACCTCCGCAGCCACCTAGTCCGCCTCCGCCCAGCCCGCCGCCGCCCTCGCCTCCGCCGCCGTCGCCGCCGCCTCCCTCGCCACCACCGCCCTCGCCACCACCACCCTCACCGCCGCCGCCCAGCCCGCCTCCGCCGAGCCCGCCGCCACCCTCGCCTCCGCCGCCGTCGCCGCCTCCTCCCTCGCCACCACCGCCCTCGCCGCCGCCGCCATCGCCGCCGCCGCCCTCGCCACCGCCTCCCTCACCGCCACCTCCCAGCCCGCCTCCGCCGAGCCCGCCGCCACCCTCGCCTCCGCAGCCACCCGGCCCGCCTCCGCCGAGGCCGCCACCGCCCTCGCCTCCGCAGCCATCCAGGCCGCCTCCGCCGAGACCGCCGCCGCCCTCGCCTCCGACCGTGCTCGCCGCCGCCTCCGATCGGCACAGACCGCCGACGCCGGCACCACCCTCGGCACCGCCACCAACGCCGCCGCCTTCGTCATAGGCGCCGGCGGCGACGACTATGTGGACCCCCCATTCGCCATC